TAGACCTACCCAGGCTCAAACCGGCCTGAACGAGCTTCTCTTCGGTGATGTACTCCCGATGATCGAGCTCAGCTTGAGCCCACGAATGGAAGGTCTTCCACGTCTGCTGGTTGAGGGTGATGCTAGTAGCACGGGTAGCCACCCCGTGCTGGCCCGGACCACGAAATAGTCCCGCTTCCAAGCCGGGACCTTGCTCGGGAACTTATGCAGCAGCTTGAACCCTGGGCGAGGAGACAAGTAGTAGACCTGCCCATGCTCGGGGAGAGCGCTAGAGGCGCTCTTTTTTATTAGTAGTATGGAGCAGAGTATGTCCGCGTCCAAAGAAACTGCTGTTCGCGACAGAGGGAAATGGTTCCCACCAAATTCCGAATGGAATTGGGGTGAAGCTGATCCAGCGTAATGCTGAAACGCCCCAACACCTTGGGAATAAGGGGGTGAAGAGGGAGATGAAGCCCACCGATGAGTTGTTCTTTGAAGATCGCAACCTCATCTGGGCCGTGCTCCCAGGGGAAATTGCCGATGGAAAGGTTGTAGGAGTACTCTGAAGGAAAGTTAAACTACTGAATGAGGTCTTGGAGCCTCTCCAGCAACAAAGTAGAAGGACCGAACTGGTCTGGCATCCGACCTCGATGAGAGGTAGATGCCAGTTTACCCGAGGTTGCCTGTGCCTCATGGGAAGGCCGGGCAACAACAGGGTCACCATGACCCGAGGTGCCCGCCTCGGGTCCCTCCGAAAAACTGCCCCCACTATACATAAGAAAGAACGAATTGAGAAAAGAGAAAAGAGGGAAGACTCGGGAACTCACCAGAAAGAGATGAAACCAAGCTGGAAGACCCGAGCTGGAGACCTCAGACGCGAGCTCAAGGTGAAAAACACTTAGCTAAGAAGGAAAATGGCTAGAATCCCGCTATTTATAGCCACGGGGCCCGGTAGCCAACGGTCAAGATTGGATCAATCCAACGGACCTCAAAGAAACTGGCTGCGAGACTCTCAAGGCGAATTTGGTTTAGCGCGTTTTTTGGCGTCCGCGCAGCATAAAGCGCGTGACGTCCGTGCATGAATTGCATGAGACACGGGTTTTTACCTCTGCGCAAACCGAATACCTAACCAGTCCAGCCGCTAAACCGCCCAACATCGCGGTATGAGAACCGAGCCAAATCCACCCAGCAAACCATGAACTCCTTGCATTGGGGCCCCGTCCCCAGCACGGGGAGTGGGGGGCAATTGATGGAGGACGATTTGGCCTGACCTCGTAGCACGGGTACACGTAGGCGTGACCTTGCTCAAGCGATGACTCAGCGTGACAACACAGTAAGCACAATCGCAACTCGGTGGGAAAGTCACACCGAGTTCAGTCCGGTAAATTGACGGGATAGACTACTCGCCGAGAGCCGCATAACCCGCGCCTCCTCCCCAGGGCTAAGGCACCCTGAGCTGCCTCCGAGCTCGGGGTCCCCTGACCTTTCCTAATACCCGAGCTCCTCCCAGTGGACCTCGGGTCACTCCTAGACAAAACACACCGATCTGCCTATAGATACCTTGAGATAAAGACACCTCGGGCCAGACAGCTCGGCTTAGCTCGCCACAGGCAGCTTGCCGCTTGCGAGATATCCCGGTACAGGGTAGCTCGCGAAAGGGTAGTCCGGCATATCGCAGGAGGATCTCCTGCCCGACCACCGAACCCACAAATCTGGGAACAACAACCATATCCCTGGTCAGACAGCATCGTGTCTGCCACCTTCAGAGGGTGTCTTACACCTGACAGGCACGAACACTGCAGTGACAACCCCGTGTGTGCCACCTCAGCCCCGTTACTAACGGCTGCGACAGGTTGACAGTGGCGGTTATACTCGCCCTGTCAGAGGCCAGTGGGCCGGAGGCAACGAATTTCTGTTATAAGGAGCTAGCATCAAGGAACAAAGGTATCATCTTCTACTCTCACGCTATCTGCACTCTTAGCCTTCATCTTCACTTTGCTTCTCCTACAGAGTACTAACTTAAGCATCGAAGTGTTCCCGCCGGGCAAGCCCCTGGGGCCCACCCCAAATGTATTTTGAATTTAAAAATTCTAACCCTAAGTTGAACCATCATTCTTCATTCTCTCTAAAAATTTTACTCTAATATTAATATATATATATATATATATATATATATATATATATATATATAAAATTGGGTTGGGTCGGTTTTAGTTGATTTACACACCAAACAAACCTAAAACTGATCACCTTAGTTCAAATTAAATCGATCGGTTTGGCCTAACAACCCTAAGCCATTGAGCTGCCATGTATGTGTCCAATAGGTGAGCAAAATAAATAAATTTTCTTGGCAAGGATATGTGGAGGCAACGTTTGGTAAAATCTAGAAACAACAAAGTGAACAATCAGCCGACCATGAAGGATGTCCTACCAAAGAATTGCTCTCTCATGTTCTTATTAGTTTCTGTTTTTGTAGATGCTTGATTAATTGATATTTTAGATGAGCGATTTGATTGCTCACCATAAACACTCCTTTCTTTTAAGATTCCCTCTGAGAATTGATTTACGTAATGTGTTGGGTTAGTGCAACGTTTTTCACTTTTAGTTGTAAAGTTTTTGACAATTAGATCTGATGTCTCTTTTTTTTGAAATAAAATATTCAATTTTTATGTATAATTTAAAACTACAAGTTTTCTATTTTTTAAAAATTGGCTTAAACATATGATATACGTAAGGTTTAAAGTATATCGATACGATACATCATCCGTATCATATTCAAGGTTCTAAACGTATCGGCCTATGTTGGTGTTTTTTTTTTTTTTTTTTTGAAATTGGTTCAGAGGGGCTGATTTAAGGCCCGATTACCCTCAGAACCAGTGGCTGACCCGACACAACCCCTGTAGGGACGTATCGGGAAGCCACTGACATGATACGTATCGGCCAATGCAGATCGATACATGTCGATACTTTTAACCTCAATCATATTGTATCTTTTAGTTTTCAAAACACTTATTTATGTAAAAAGCACAAGATTTCAAGTACTAATACACTTTTGCCAATACACAGAGGTGTATGATATTTTGAACCTTGAACGTACATGCTTAGTATAGACTACAAATGTCTGGTTAGACATCAGTCCTATGGGCCAACACAATGCCACCACGTTATTTTCAGATATTTTTGTAATTTTCAAATTAAATGTTCTTTTTCTTGCTTAAATTCAAAGAATATTAATTATTAAGAACTCTTGGAAAAAATCTAGTCCTTACAAACTACCAAATCATAGAAATTTATTTCTACAAATAAAAAAATATATATTTTTCATCTCATCTCAACTCAACTCAACTAATTAAGCCTTGTCCCCAACTATATGGGGGTTTTCTATTTTTTCTATATTTAGTGACATGTCATCATCATCATCATCATCCATGCCTTATCCCAAGTATATGGGGTTGTTTATATGAATCTTATTTTCTTAATCCATTTTATTTAAAGTTATATCCACTATTAAATCATTAGTGTTTAAATCATTTTTTACTACTTCTACCCATGCCCTTTTTTGTCTATCCTATCCCTTTTAGCCCCTTCAACTTGTTACAAATCATTATTTCTAATTGATATTGTTGAAATTCATTGTTAAATTATTGACTATCATATAGCTAGCAATGTTTTATGTGATAGGTGAATACCACTTAGGTTGAAAGGAAATCTTTATAAAACTATCATATAGCTAGCAATGTTGTATATATAGAACAAATTATTGGACATTCGCGAAATAATACATCTAAAAAATGGGACAAAATTTTGAATTTTAATATGATTAATGGAAAAACTAAAAAATGATAGGATTAGAGATGAAATTGTTCAGGTGATGGTTGACTTGGCCAAGAATGCCATGTGGCTATCTTTGTGGTTGCCCCCTTAAACCAACTCCTCTGAATCAACTTAACAAAAAGCATCAATAAAAGCCGATACGCTCAATAATGAATAATCACTTGTTCTGTCTAAGGTAATAGACTAATCGAATTTGTTGTTAGCAAAAACATGTTAATACGTTGAGGATGACAGCACTGCAATCTATTCTATTACCAATGAGGTTGGATTGTTGTGCTATCAACGTGTAAACATGCTTTTTGCTGGCAGCAAATCCCGTCATATTGATGTATAATAGGCACAAGGTAATAGCCATCCAATTACAATCCAGATCTCTAGCTACACCTACAAGCATCCTACCCACAGGACACTTGTTTTAATAGATTCGATCTCATCCAATTAACTTACGTCTAATATTTGAATTGAATTGGATTTTAATAGATTCGATTAGTTTAACTCCCAACTGATCCATCCATTTGCAATTATAAAATTATAACATAGCCATCGTGTTCAACTAATCCAGTCTTGTAGACAATCTCATGGGCCATTTGCCTTGATTGAGCCACTTGGGAGAAACTGCATAAAATAACTTCATTGGGAAATTGTTCCGAATAGACTACTGGCTTCAAGTGGTGTCCGGAACACTGATCTGAACTTTCCGGATTTTGCTTATCGTTTTCATATGGGGTCCAATTTAGAATTTCAAAAGCCAAAGGCTTTCAGATAACGGTTTTTGACATATCATGAACCAATAACCTGGAATGTCATAAAGCTGTGTTTGGCAATTGATAGAAATCAGAAAAGTCAAAAAGTTTCTTCCTAATGGCAAAGTCGATAAAAGCTCAACCAACGCCAACGCATAGTCCGCATAAGCCCTCCCCAAGTCCCAAACGGGTTATATAATATCTCATTTTGGTAGCGGTAGCGCCCAGATCTGGTCTCGTTGTGTTTATGAAATCCATTGGCACACGTGTCAACTGATGTGCAAGGAAGGATTCTGTCATTCTGTGGTGAATGAATGCTTAGATTTCATCTTCTCTCAGTGTCAAAAGCAAGGAAATAAAAAATGCTTCTTCTATTCTTTTAAGTTTTAGCAACGAATGTGGATAATGGAGAAGTAAAATGATTTCGATAAAACGAATCAACCTGTACCCAGATGATTCTCGTAGAAAAATGCCTTCAGTAGGAACTTTGAAGAACCAACTATAAAAGCAAAAAAGCAAAAGAAGAAAAGCTCTAAAAGCGAAAGAAAGATAGCTTTTATATATTTTAGATCTGGCTTTCCTGCCAGGCTTCCGTGATTCTTCCCTCCAGTTGGAAGAATCAACTACCCTTAAAAACCGATTTCGTTGGTCGGTAGATCCAAATATTTATTCTCTATTACCTCTCAGTCCTCGGCCTCCACTTCTTACGGTCTTACCCAAGCTATTGGGGCAAAATAACTACGTTAGATTCTCTCACTTTCTATCTCCACTAGTGTTTGTTCGTGGATGTCGTCGTCGTCTAAAATGGCGAGTAGAGAAGGATCGGAGATAGAAGGATCAGAGAGCGGTTCGGAAGAGAGAGGGATGTTTGAGTACTTTGGTTGGGTTTATCACCTGGGAGTTAACTCCATCGGTCACGAGTATTGCCATCTCCGCTTTCTGTTTTTAAGAGGCAGATACGTTGAGATGTACAAGCGTGATCCTCACGAGAATCCTGGCATTGTAAGCTTTTCTTCCCCTTCTCCTTTTTCTCTTTAATTGGCCTTTTTTCGTTCTGCTTGAATTTATGTAATCATTTTTTGTTGTGGGTACTGAAATTCGATCACGAGAGTCGAAAAATGTTAACGGAGAACGAGGTGGGTTGCTGGGTGTTGAAGTACCATTTTGTTTTTTCTTCTGAACTTTTAGTTATGAAGGATTAGTGGAAAAAGTAGATGTGAATTACTGGGTTATATGAGAAAGGAATTACGGAAACAAACTTTACTTCAATAGATAAAAACATTCTGGTGCATTCAATTCTTTGCAAGATCATTAGTCAAGTTATTGATCTTAATTAGGACTAGATGTGACATATGGTTCACTTTTCTGTTGAGGCCCAACAGTTCACAGTTCTAAAGTGGTATTCGAGGGCTCGATTTTGGATGCGTTCTGCTTTATTGGGTTTATGATCTTTTGAGAAGAGCTAAATCTTTAGCCATGATGGAATCCTACTGAGTAAGCAGGTCTGGTGTATGTAAATATACATGCTCAATGTCATGACACAAGTACTGCAATGCATGAGGGGCTCAATTTTCTCTCTACTACCTGTCAACAAGCAAATGAAACATTGAGACACTCCTACTTCCGAGCATGAAGTCTTTTTCAGTCCCATGAAAATGGTGCTAACTTTTTCTCAACATTTTGACATTTTTTAAGCAGGTAACTGTTATCTGCAATAGATATCAAAAAGAGGGTTATGCCTGAAGGATACACAAGATGCACAAAATGTGAAGAAAATATGTACATTCAGTGCATCACTTACAAGAAGTTACTTTGGAAGAGAGCTGTCATTAAATAAAAAGGCCCTTCTAACCCTACATCTAGCTAATCCATCCACTATGATATTCAAGGCCTTTGGAATCCGATGAGTCTGCATGATCTTCCAATCATTTAAAAAGTGCCCAGTCTTCATGTATTGCTGTTTAAACTTTGACTTGATCTAACAGCATAAGTTGAGTTACCATTGATGTATCTTTGAGGTCATGGGTGATGTAGGATGGGTTCAGTAACTTTTAGATCTGGTGGTTTTCTTTTTAGGGTGAAGAAAGGTAATTTGAGTGATTAAGGATGAAGAATATTGGTGGAAAAGTAAGCGGATAGATGCTGTTTATCAAAGAATAAGCAGGACATTATAAAGAAGACAAGAGATCTTGCTGCTAGTGAGCAGCCTGGGGATAAATTGCTTACATGATGAAACAAGTTGGAAAAGAGAAAAAAACAGAGAAAAGCACCTGGATACATTCAGAACTACTAAACTAAACTTTTACTTTAAAATTAAACACCTCTAAATTTCAATTACAATGACTATTTATGGACTCAACATAAGGGACTGGATCAATGGATCTTCCTATAAGTCAATCGGATAAGAATGGTCTATAGGGTCTGAAGGTCAGATGCAGATGCCAAAGAGGATATGCCGGTGAAAGTGTAGCAAAGAGTGAAGGAAAGCTGAAAATGTTTTTGAAGGTCCTTTCCAAGGGGACCAAATCCCCTATTTATAGGGAAAGCTGGCTATGCTGACGTGCATAACTCTTCATTATTCCAAAACATTCCAAAGACACTAGTTATGTTGGAGTAGAGTTAGAATTCGTCAGATAGATGGCCGAACCATGCTAGATGGCTGGCCAAAATTTCAAAAAATTTTCTAACCTTTTTGGGAACCAATTTCCCAGTAAATTTGAAATTTTAGGATTGTTCTTGCATTGAATCGGACTAGATTTGAAACCAAGGAGAAGGGAGATTATACCTGATACGGAGACCACAAATCGCAGCTCCCAAGGTGGTAGTTCATGCCCAATATCACTCCTAAAACCAGCCTCCAACTGAAGATGGTGAAGTGTATAGAGAACCGATTCAACAACACTTGATTTCAGAAAATTTGCTATCCAACTTGCTTGGATTGAACAGGGTAATTGAGCCTGCTATTCTTCAGTGTTTTTTTTTTGTTTTTTTTTTTTGCAAAAACAAAGAAGGAAATTGATCTAAATCAGTTCTTGAAAGCCTAGGTCGTTCTAGGGTTTCTTGGGAGACAAAAGAGAAGAAGATAGAACAAGAGAGAGAGGTAGTATAGTCTTGTTCACCCTCTTCTCCTTTTATCTCTTAATGGAGCACACTCCTAATCTTGGGAGATTATCTAGATTTGAATTGGATCTGGACTCTTTTAACAATTAAACATTATCCTCTTGAGAGGATAAGTGCTCCATACCCAATACTAGACCCAGATTTGACCCAAATCACGTTGTCATGTGACAACTTAATTAATCTTATTAATATTTGGGCCTTTGGCCCATTTTCTTCAAAGATTCACGACCCTAGGTGTTGTATGGCTATGCCTAATATTGTATGGCGTGGGACCCCACAAAGGTCTCACTCAAGTCCATAAGGGTATGGTCCCACCTCTGAGAGAGGCCAGACCGAATTCATTGTTTAGAGTAGTGAACCCCTGAGCCAATCAGTACAGGCTTAGTTTGGGCCCAACATTTACACCTAAGTGATCGTTGGATTAAGCCACCCTATGAAGACCCAAGGATAATGGACTTAAGTGAGATAAAGCCCATTGGGTAATTAGCCCTGTAATGGTCTCTTACACTTAACCTTTCGGCCCATAATGATCAAAACATTGCTTGACAAGGAATGACCTCTCCCTTGGCTGCAAGGTGTAGTGCCACACTCTCTTCTCAGATGGATCCCGAGATTAAAACATTTTGCAAATTTTTTTCATAAAATAGTAGTATATACGATGTATAAATACATTTTGCAAAACTAGATTTCAAATACAATTGAAATCCACTACCGACAGTTTAGGTTTCCATCAGAGAGAGTGTAAACCTTGATATTCACTTTGTTTGACAAAGGGGCCAACTCTATTACTATGATCACCCACTCAGGTTATTTTCCAAACTACCCCAACATGCCTAGGTATTTGACCCTTGGTGGATCTCATTGATTGTCACATCAAAGACAACCTAGTCCAACACTTAGTGCAGTACCATAATCATGCCTAGGTATTTGACCCTTGATAGATCTCATTGATTGTTACATCAAAAATAGCCTAGTCCAACACCTAGTGCAGTACCATAATCAAGCCTGGGGTTACGTGTAACTTTCTAGTTTTGCCCATCTATCTCCAAGGTCCAGGGCATAACTGGAAATCAGTCCGGGTTCAGTGTTTCTTTCAAACACACGCTGCATGTGCTTGGGGTCTAACCCTAGTAGCTGAGACAAGCTGTTCCAACTATTTGGCAGTTGGAGAACATTCTAAACTAACACGAGTCTCATAAGTGTCCAGTTTAAGGGGTAATACACAGAAAATATACCAATATCAACATGAAATAATAATGTACTTTATTCATTTACAAATAAATGTTTATGTACATCAGTCTGATTGGAGCTAAGGGCATACATTGTCTAACAAGTTACGGCATCGGATTTTAGGCCACCTTAGGGTGAATACACGTGCAAGGAGGGGACTAGGTACTAACCTGTGGCTTTCCTTGTGTCCTTCACAATCTCACCACATGGCATAATTTGAGCCTATACGTTTGTCATGCCTAAAGTGCTATATTGTCTGTGTACAGGAATTGTGAAGCTAGGTTTCAGTGAATCCTTCCACAGGATCTGCTATTTCATGGATTTGACAGATATCGCAAGTCTCAGAAGCTGAATACTTAGGAATTGCAATGTTTTGGTACAATATTGTGGCAATAGGCATGTCTATCTCCTTACATTCCCTTCATATGCTCCAAACTCAACTAGAAATCTCAAAAATAAGGTAACACTTAAATAAGGACCATGACTCTTAAAATATTCCCAACAACCCATTACTGATCCTATTAAAACTAAACAAACAAAAAGCAACCTTAGGAGAGATCAAGAAAATGGAAATACTGAAATCCTGCAACAGAATAACACCCTATGAGTATCAAAACACTTCAGGTTCACAATATATTAATCTCATTGGATAGATATCTCAATAATCTATCTAATGACACCAAAATCATCTAAAATGTTAAGTTTTACCCCTGAAAAATTGGCTGATTACAACTTTAACTTTTCAAAAATTTAAGAGCTCTCTAGAAAATACTTTAAGCTATTTTGATACTCTAATGATTGACCCTTTTACTAGGATACTAACAAATTAGAAAATAACTCTTAAAAGAATCAAATTGACAAAATTCAAATAACCCAACAATATGTAATTGCAATTGGTATAAGAATTTGAGGAAACTTGGTTTCTTCTTTCATGGTTTCTTTCCCTTTTTCCTTATCTGGATCCATGGGTTTCCTCTATCACTATGTGAAGGCCTCCTTAGGAGAAACTGAAGTAATGCATCTTACTTCTGTCATTGTAGTCTTATTGCTGCATCTGGATGGGTTACATAGTGGAACATTGGACCACCATGAGTATTGAAACCACCATTAGCAAAGATAGAGAGTAGTTCTCTTTATATCTCTCCAGTACAAAGAGAAACTCCAGTGCTCCTTTGAGACATGCATGCATGAAAAAATCAAGGGTTTTTGTGCTGAAATTTGCCCCACTAATAGAGGACAGTGAGAGGAACTTGTGGAGAAGTTTGGGCCCCAAACCAATTTGCCACATTTTAAGATTCCTTGGTCATTTAGCCTTCTTTTCTAAATGACTTGAATATATACCTATGGAAACCCAAATTTCAAAAAAGGGCCTGCAGGGGAACCATATATGATACAAGTACAATACATTCTTTTTTTGAAGACAAATAAAAAACAAAGTTTTTTATTATGAGAAAAGCACACCCCAGAAAAAGAGAAAGTACAATACATTCTTGTGAAGAGTCTTGTTTAGATTCGTTCTCTTTTTGAACCTTCAAATTGTACCATATCATGTAGTGCATTTTAGTGGTCAGCAAGGTTCAAAATATCGATACAGGCCAATATGCCCCAACTGGCGTATCGGCCTGTGTTGAGGCTCGCTTTTATTTTTTTTAGTTTTTGTTTTTTCAAACTGGTTCAGAGGGATTGGTTTAAGGCCCATCTACCCCGTGAACCAGGCCAGACCCCTAAACACCCACTGCAGGGGCGTATTGGGAGGCCACCAATACGATACGTATCGGACAATATGGCCCGATACGTATCGGACAATATGGCCCGATACGTATCGAAATTTTGAACCTTGGTGGTCAGTATTTCATGTCAAAACATCCTAGAAAACTTTCCTTGTTCCCATTTTGTACAATACCAAGAATTCCTTCAAATATATTCATCTCTAGTTCTTTCTCTCCTAGCCCTGCTACTTGTCTATTTGAGTATTGTTAACTCTGTTGAATGTGATGATAATACATATAGTTTTCACATGAACATTTGACCATTATCCTTCTTTCTAAACTGCCAAATGATTATTCCTTTTTTATTTTCCTTTTGCGTTGTTCGTATTATTTTATTTTACCTTTGCTCAGAGTGAATTTTGTCTCCACAATATCATGTTTCTCTAGTTATCGGATAAATGTTTGGACTGTATACACATAATTACATGGATATGTATATGCATTCGCAAGTACTTGCTTACACAGGTGCATGTATATACCACTTTACATGCATGCATTCATAATTGTGCATACTGCATAGAGACACCTACTACTTGCATGTCTTTCTATTTTAGAAGAGATGTTATATGTTTGTATATATATGTATGTATGCAGCTTTTCTTACTTAAATTAAAATACCTTTTTTTTTTATTACAGAAGCCTATCAGGAAGGGTGTGGTTGGGCACACTCTTATGGTAGAGGAGCTAGGGCGTAAGAAGGTCAATCATGGGGTATGGCTTCTATTCTTCCTTCTGAATGCCTTCTTTAACATATTATATCTTCCTTGCAATGTTCTATTTGTATGTGCTGGATTTATGTGCTATATAGATCTTGTATTCAGTAAGATATGTTTTACTATTGTTTGAAAGAAAAAAAATTGCTTCAGCTTCTTCCACTCTCTCTCTCTCTCTCTCTCACACACACACACATGGATCTAATTGTTTAGTTTTTCCATATTTGCTCTTTGGAACTTGGTTTCTCATGGGTCTAACAAGGAAATATATATATATATATATATATATATATATATATATATATATATTCTTTTCAAAATTCCCTAGGATGTATATGTGCTACGATTTTACAATCGGCTGGACGAGACAAAAAAAGGAGAAGTAAGTAACCATTCTTTGTATTTTATTTGTTTCTCTTTGTTGCAACTTGTACTATAATCTGCAACACATAAAACATCAATGTATGAGGTCATTTGCTATATACTTTTACCTTTTGGGAAGAAGTGAGAGACTGTTCTGTAATTTGCCTTAAGTTCTAGAATTAAAACCTTATGGAAGTTGCTACCTGGAAGGTTCAATGAGTTTATTTTGTATTCAGAAGCCCTGTTGAAGATGAAATTAGTGGCTGAAGTCTCTAGAAAGATTCTTTCTTACCTTTTAAGGTTCAGATTGAGTTAAATACAGGGACATGTGGGTAACATTTCCCGGTCTCACTTTAATCAGGCTGGTCCCCAATCAAACGTCCAGATTTTTGAGTTGCAAATGTATAACAAACTGGGGTACTTCTATGTTGGCAAAGGGTGGTCTTCCATGGGAATAACCATACCAGGACCAGTTTCTCTTTTAACTCGCTTTTGTACAGCAAAATGTCTGAACAGATTGCAACAAGGTCTTCTTCCTTGGAAAAAAGAAGATGACGGGAGACTCTGTCGACCTGGTGAATCACAATATTCAGGGATAGACATTTAGAAATCTACAATAGAAAAAATTTAAATTCTCCCAGGTATTTTATGTCTTTTAATCATTTTATTGTTTATACACACACACACACACTTATAATTTTCAAAATCTGGAATCTAAACAACATTTAATCATATGCCCAAGGGCAACACCTGGGCCCCATACTTAAGCCCTTAGCACAGGTACTAAGTCTGGCCCTGGCTCAGCCCATGATCACCCCTAGTAGGAAGCAAATTGATGTGGTCCCCACTCCCCACTTTATATGAGAAAGAATTAAGATAGAGGGAAGTGGTGCAAAATTTGCATCAGTTTTTTTCAGATGCAAAATATGCACTGTTAATGGATGCAAATGGGACAAAAAGTACAAATTTTGCATCAGGTAAGAGTGCAAATCATGTCACAAACAAATAGATGCAAAACTGAACTGGGTGCGAAATTTGTATCCCGTTTCAGATTTGTATTGCAAACAAACACAGCCTTAAAAACACCCTGCTTCTTGACAAACTCTCTTTTGAAAGCGATCCCATAAACCTTTCTGAATCCCTTCTCACCTCTCATATACTCGTTATATGTTCAACCGTTGGCTGAAAAAGTTCCATCTATCCTCCTGACCTGAAACGTATTCTAATGCCATATTACAAATACGATGCATGGAATCTTATTATTCAAGTGAATTATGTTTTCTTCCACCTCACAAATATGAAATTGCTCTAATTATCTTCTTGAAATGGGTTCTTTTTAATGGATATTTTATTTCTTTGCAAGATTGCTTGTGCTACAGCTGGAGAAGCTCGGAAGTGGATAGAAGCATTTGATCAGGCCAAGCAGAAAGTATGAGAGTTTTTCTAAAATAATATATATGAAACAAAATGTTACTTTTCTGAAAATTATCATGGTTCTCTTGTTTTGTAAGGTTGTATCTGTATCATTTATAATTGCAGCATAAACCTTGTTGTTTATGTTTTTCGTACAAAATCTGTGTTGAGACTTCGGAGTACAGTTTGCTATCTAATAACTAATAACAATGGTGAGAAGAGAATTTCAGTTATAAGTAATACTAAAATTTTGTTTTTCCTTTTTGATTGGTAAATTGCAAATTTTGATTTAGAACTTTTCTTTCTTTCTGACAATGGAGAAGATTATATTTTATAAATTTTTGCATGGATGTTACATTGTTCTTTTATAACTTGTAATTATTCATCTATAATGCTAACATTATAAAAAATACTAGGACTCTTTCATCAATGAATTCCAATTCATCATCAAAAGAGAAATGCCCTCCTTTCATAGTGGAAGATACAATAGGGAAAAGTAACTCTCAACTTGCCAATGTTCATTGACAATAAAAACCCTAAATTGTTAGAATTGATAACCAAAAGATAAAAAAGAAGGAAAAAACCTATGCTAATTTGCCCAAAAGAAATTTAGTAATGAAGGATGGAGTGTGGGATTATGGTGAGGTGAGGGTGGACAATAGAAAAATGCCTGCCACACTTCAACTTCTTTATTCTTCTATGATTCTGATAGTTTAGAAAAATGTAAAAAAATGGCCTTTTTCGTTGATTCTATTTATAATTAATATTTCAGATGCTATAATGAAGCTAAAAATGTTTCATTTATCATACAAGTGTTAATTTATACTATAGATATTTTCTTGTATAAGATACATTCTGATATCTAAAAATATAGAGAAATTTATTGTAAAATTATTAGTCAGTAGATGTCAATATATATTAATTAAAACTATGGGGCTATGTTGGTTATTTAAAATTTTTATTAGAATATAGAGATTACCAATTATACTTTTAAAAGAAAAGAAAAAGGAATAGCATGAAGATATTTTGCCTTACTGTAGTTTCTTGTTGAATGGTAATAATTTCTCTTTTACGCTTAGGATGCTATCATATTTTGCCTTACTGCTAACTTTTATCTACAGGCTGAGTATGGGCTAGTGAGTGGAAGTGACACCAGAAGTAAACTAAACATGGAAAACGAGTATGCTTCATATCTTACATGTGGATGGTGTAAATGGTTTGCATGATTGTACATATTCTTTCAATTGTTTCAGGAGGACATCTAATCTATTGGTTGGTTAGAATGCATGAAGTTTTTTTTTTTCGATAAATGAAAGAAGTTTTATTAGCAAAAGATTGAAACTGTTACAAGCTTCCCTAGGGGGGGGGGGGGTGCAAGATGCAGCCACACCCTTGTGCCAAAACAACTAAAAAATTAGAAATCACAACTCAGCCCCGATAAAGAAAGTCCCTAGAAGCCCTTCGTTTGGCTAAGAAATCAGCCAATGCATTAACTGACCTGCTCACCCACTGTTTTTAAACTGCTGTTGACCTGGACGGTTGAACCATTCAACCCGAAAACCAGTCACTAATCCAGTTCCATTTACCTCCTAACCCGGAGGCAGAGTTATAAGAAAAACCGTTGAAAAGTCAATAAACTGTTGATCTGGCCATTCGAATCATCAAATAGTTCAACCCGGGCAACGGTTCACAAGTTAAAAACGAATTTCCATCCATACACTGATACACTCAGTCACTTCCTCTCTCTGATAAAATACTAAAATGACAACTGACAAAAGATAAAAAAGTAAGGTGAAAAATCCCAAGACTTGAAATATGATAAAATCCATTGTTCATTTTACAATTTTTTAACTAAATTAAAGAGTTATTTATTCAAGATAGTACGGTCAATTCTTTAAACTGTTGAATTGTACTTTTTTTCTTGTGATGTATATTATAAGAATTACTAGAGATAAATCCATTGTGATTTTATTTATTTATTATTTACATTTATTTTATCACGGGTTAATCCGTTTGACCTGGATGGTCGAACCGCTGACCCATGACCCGAAAGGAAAAACTGTTCCGTTTTCAGGTCGTTTTTTAAAACATTGTGCTCACCCATTGTATTCTAGTTGTCATGTTTCTTGTTAACCACTTAACTTTCTTTAGAAGGTCCCTGTATTTCCAAGTAGCAGAATCCAGATCCAATAGCTACCCTACCACCACCTTAGAATCTCCCTCAAAAATTAAGTTGGTCACACCAATTTGACTTGCAGTATGAGTTTTGAAGATTCAAACCCTAGTTTAGAGAAGAGAAGAAGAGTTTTGAGGGTTGTACAATAATACATGCATGGACAAGTATGCCCCTGCTTAGGTTGTAGCAGAACTACGTAAGAACATGACATAAAAGACCAACACAAGCCCAGGCATATTACACCCATATAAAACAAGTACATAATAGACAATAACAGGCCCAAGCCCATATGGTTAAGACCCACAACACTTCCCCCCCCCCAAAGCTGAGCATAGATATCTTTCATGCCCAACTTGCATAGAAGCTCTTAAAATCTCGACCTAGTGAGTTCCTTGGTAAACGCATCGGCTAGTTGTCTTGCAGAAGGCATGTAAAGAGTACACAAATCTCCAGAAGCAATCTTTTCCCTCACAAAGTGTTTGTCAATGTTAGAGTTAGTCGAATGAGGGGTAGATTAGTCTTTTTCAGTCAGTTTAAGTTATATGCTTATGTGGCAGTTCTAATTAGACTTCCTGTCCCATACTTAAATGGGGGCATTTTAGTCATTGTACTTAATTAAACCCCTAATCCATATTATGGTCGAATGGTAGGGTTTAGGCTACCAATTTCGACTGATTTGTTCTTCTTCTTCTAGTTCGAACTGCTGAAGCCACTGAACAAACATGGTATCAGAACATGACGTTGCTCTCTAAATCTGCTCCTCTCTGATCGTGACTTCCTTTTTCTTCTTTCTGGACTGAAAATGGAGAACACAGACTTGACCTAGGTCTGAGAACACTTCGGTCCTTCTTCCTCTGCTCAGAACTTGATTGTTTTTCAAGAAAATAACTCTAGAAGTAAGTGGATGGTCGACTGAAGCTCTCCATTGAGGTTGGTTACCTTTTTTTTTGTGCTGTTGGTATTTCTGGGTTGAAAGCCTTCAAAAATCTGCTCAGACTGATCAAAACCTAAAGAACTAAGTTGTTTGTAGCCTTGGTTCTTGGAAAAAAAGTCCAAGAACAGGCTGTGTTTACAGTGACCGAATGGTGTAAGGGTATGTTTGACCCTTTTGTGTGGGTCTGTAGATTGTTTTGAAAACTTTGTTGGTCACAAGTGACCTGAATCGACTGACAGGTTACTGCAGTGCTTGTGATGCTCACCCTTTATTGAGCAGCTTCAAGAGGGCTCGTATGTGGTTAGTGAGTTGCTGAATTAATGTCATTGTGATTTATGGTTCTGTGAAATCAGTAGTGGTGTGAACAAGAACAAAAGTTTGTGTTTTTTTTGGGCTGGAAGGAATGACCGAATTGCCTACATCAATTTTCTGCCTTGTTGGTGCTGTCTGAATGCTGGTTTACCTTTTGTTCTTTATCTAAATGGCAGTTTACACAGTGGTGATTGATTGTGACTGGTTGTGAACCTATCATCTGTGTTTGGAGACTACTGTAGTGTCTGGAACATCAAACTCCTAACAGCAGTACTCGGTTGGTGACTGGGGATTCAGCATTAGAAGTAGCATTGGGAGGGCATCATGGCAGCAACTGGAGATGGTTGTAGTGATCAGAAACCTAGTGTGGTGATTCCCTCTAACTATTTGGGTGTGCAGATGACTTCAATTAAACTGAATGGTGAGAACTATGTGCCATGGGCCAAGTCAGTGAAGGAGACTCTAAAGTTGTGGTGAACTGGTTAAAAGAGGATAACTCAAGGATATGGAAGTACAACAATGAAAAAGGAAAATTTAAGTGGCTAACTAAGGATGTTGAAATTCAATACAAATGGGTAAAGAGAAGTGCAAACTCACTGGCAGATGGTTTAGCTAGGCAAGGGGTTAATAGGAGCTCTTTGTTTTGGGCTTTATTGTAATTGTATTTGCTGCTCATTGATTGTTCTAGGGAGCTAAGATTGTTTAGCCTCCTTGCTTTGCAATTCTTCTTAACATTAATTAATACATTTCACAGTTATTGATAAAAAAAAGGGCCAAGTCAGTGGAAGTTTTTCTCAAGGCAAAGAGGAAAGTGAAGCATGTGAAGGAAGATAARYCAYYAGCTRACTCTTYAGGGTTTGATGAYTGGGAACAGGAAGATGCCCAAATCATGACATGGTTATGGAATAGTATGGAACTCAAAACAAGTGCCAACTTTATGTTCTTAGATACAGCTGAGGACATATGGGAACATGCCAAGAAGCTTTATTCTGGGCAGGATAATACTACGAGGGTATATCAACTCTATCAAGAGTATTTTGATCTGTAGCAAGGGAATAAAACCCTAGAAGAGTACTATGCCAGTATGAAAAACTTTAGAAATGAACTAAATGTCTATCGTCCCCTAACTCTGGATGTTAAGGTTTAGTAAGAACAAAGGGAGCAACTAGATGTCACTAGGTTCTTAGTGGGGCTAAAATCAGAGTACGAATCAGTTAGAGCCCAAATTTTGGGAGGCTCTATTCTTCCTACACTTGAGGAAGTATTTTCAAGGCTTCGTAGGATCTCCTTGGGTTCTACAGAGAGTACCACATCGTTTGACAGATAGGATTTGTGGCAGCCAGAGGAGGTGGACGTGGTAATAGAGGGGGCGGACATGGATCTTGAGGAGGTCGTGGTGGTTCCATATTTGGCCGTGGTGGTGGTCATGACTCAGGGGGAGGCCATGGTAAAGGAAAAGGTAACTCTGCTAGGAAGTGTACCCACTGTGGCAGGGAAGGACACTCGGTGAATTTTTGTTATGATCTCCATGGCCCACCTTCTACATGGGCAAATCATGCAGTAGCTGGTGGGGTTGATGTCAGTGATAACCAACAACCAAATCTCACACCTTCTACATCTACATCTGTTTCTGGGAAGGAGATGATGAGTGTACCACGCGATGAGTATGAGAGGTTCCTTTAAGCTACTTCACAACATACTACTGCCACCCTTGCTCACTTAGGTATTGCTTGTTTGGCATCCAAACCCTCTCCCTGGATTATTGACTCTGGAGCCTTTGAAACTTCATGATTGGGACTCCAGGTGTGTTCTCTTCTCTCTCTGAAACTTCCACATCTCAAACTGTTACCCTTGCCAACGGTTCCTCTTCTCTCATCTGTGGTGTTTTAATGTTGACACGACTTCTCTTTCTTTATCATCTGTTCTATATGTACCTAAATTTCCATTCAATYTTATGTCAGTTAGTAAATTAACTAAGGCCCTTAATTGCTCTATTACATTTTTCCCTTCGTTTTGTGTTTTTCAGGATCTCAAGACTGGAAAGAATATTGGTGGAGGGCATGAAGCTGGTGGATTGTATTATCTTAACGGTGGTGGGTCATCAGTTGTACTTCAGACTTCCCTCACTCCTCTACAATGGCATTGTTGGCTGGGACATCCGTTCCTCAAGGCACTCAAGATACTGGTTCTGCCTTTGAGTCATTTGTTGTCTTTATAGTGTGAGCCGTACCAATATGGGAAACACCATTGGGTTTCCTTCAGTCCTAGAGTTGATAGTCGTATGTTGAGTCATTTTGCTTTAGTTCATTCAGATGTTTGGGGTCCGATTAAAATAGAGTCTTATAATGGTTACAAGTATTTTGTCACTTTTATTGGTGATTGTTCAAGGATGACATGGATTTATTTAATAAAAGAAATGAGTGAATTATTTTCCATTTTTCAAAAACATGTTGAAATATGTATGCAATTTAGTGTTCCAATCAAAGTTCTTCGTTCAGCTAATTGTCATGACTACTTCCTCACTTCTTTTCAACAATATTTAGAACAACATGGCATCATTCGTCAAACTTCATGTGCATCCAGCCCTTAGCAAAATGGGGTGGCTGAACGAAAGAACCGTCATCTCCTTGAAATTGCTCGGTCTATTCTTCATCATATTAGTGTTCCTAAATGTTTTTGGAGTGATGCTGTGCTTATTGCTTGTTTCCTTATTAATCGGATGCCCTCCTTCATCCTTCATGGTCGGTCTCCCTTTTCT